CTAATTCTTTACCTGATTTTCTAACTCGTGAATTTTTGCAGGGTTCATGAATCCGCCCCCCCATGGGCAGGGCCGGGGTAATACTCCAAAGGCTCGTGGCAAAAATAAGGCTAAGGCCAAAGTGGTTATACCACTCACTGATGATCAATTTCCATATTTGGAACATGTTGCTGATCTGCTCACACCTTCTAAAGGAAGCAGCAGTACACAACAAAAACAACAGAAACCCACCATAAAAGAGGTTCTTGAACAAGAAACTCCATGGATACCTAATCAAAGGTATATTCCAACAGTACTGGTACTGGATTCGCAGGATGAGCAATGGATGCCAGATCCTTGGGAAGTGAAATCCAGATATTTCCAAACTCAACAATATGTTGCACCGGATGGTCGCCATAGATATATCTATGAAGCCATTCTTACTGAAACTTCCTCTGTGGAGATCAACCACACGAAACAATTTCCGAATTCCAAAGATAGTCCTCTTACTTATAGTAAAGCTATCTTTAAGAGGCTTATACGGCCTAGTGACTAGGGATTAAATCCTAATTTGCCAAGGAAAATATCCTATGGTCACAGTTACATTTATTGGGATTATATCTCAGCTTGGACATATTCGTTCTTTTATCAAAATCCGAAGCATAAGCATTCTTGGTTTTTCAAGATATGCCCTCAATCCGTTAAGGCTGATTTCCCAAACTGGGTTATACCCTGGTGGGCTATATTTGGCCCTGATCTGGATATGTTGCCAGAATCAGTTAGGCACTTATACTTGCCATGGCAACAATTTCATCCTCAATTAAGGGGACAGGATAATATTCCTGTAGGGAAATCCACCCTATTATTCTTTACTGAATTTGGAATCCCTTGGATCTGGAAATGGGATTTCCAATGTGGTTATACCACTGACAAGTTACCAGTCCTGCAGAGGATCTTTTATTACAGATGGTGGTCCGGCATGACTCAAGACCCTATCCAAGCCCTCCTCCATCAGATCAGAAAGAAAACACTGGAATACATGGATAATATTCCAAAGTTAACTATTCCAGAACCTGAAATCTTTAACCCATTTGAACTAGTTAAAGATATGATCAGAAAACAACAACCATTAATTACCGAAGCCGATTTAATGGTTAAATGCATGGATTTTATGAGGACCAAATTTGTTAAATCTTTTGATTCCTCCACACCTCCAGTACGAGATGATGCATCCATGGTATCAGTCTCTAGCCAGACCAGTCAAGAAGGTAATCAGTTTTCCTGTCTCGCTGGTTATGCACAAGATCCCAATGAAGATCTTATTTCTGAAGATGAGCCTACAGTAGCCGACTATTGGGACTCTCTCATCAGTCACTTGATGGACAAGATGAATCCACCTAAAAAGTAAAGATTCCTCTTATCCTGCCGACAGAAGAAAACAAAGAACTTTTCCCAAAGTCTTTGGTTCTACAGTATTTCCTTCATCAGATGTCTCTTTTCCATCAGATAAGGAGACAGAACTTAGTGGTGGGCCGATCGACTGCATTATTTACAGCACACGATCACATGCACTATGCGGACTTCAAAATATTAATTTCAAGTCCATTTTTATGTATAAATAGAGGGCAAAGTTTCCCTTCAATGTATCTTTCAATTTCCTTTTCTCTCTTTTGTAATATTTCTCTGTACTAGCTTGGAAGTTCAATAAAGAAAGTTTTCTGTAAGTCTGTTTACATTTCTTATTATTGGTAGTTATTAGTTATTAATATTAATCATACATCGATCTTCAACTTATTGGTATCAGAGCCATGATGGCTTAATTTTCTATTGTTAATGCTTCTTAGGTACTGGTAGCATGATTATTATTGTAATTATGTTATGAACAATACGACTACTATTCTGTCCAACTTATGTTTATCCCAGATTCCATTATGGGTCGTCCAAAAGTCGCGTTGGAATGTTTAACCCGCTTTTGCATTAAATTGCTGCACAGGGTATTGTTTCCAGTAAATCGTTGACAGACGAGTAATAGAATCTCTCTTAAGCAGAACGACGACAGAATAGTAACTTACTGTTCATTACATAATATGATAATATTTATCCTATACAGACCTTTAAGCATTAACAATATTTAACAGCCATGTTAAAACCATCTTCCTCCTCTTCAGGAGTACAGGAAAACCAAGATTTAGAATTGGTAAAAAATACTGAATTAGTAGAATGGACCAATGTTCAAAATAAATTGAACAGATGAACTATTCCTCCAGTAAGTGCTAAGAGCATTTACAAAATCGGAATGCTTAATTTAACTGATCTATGGACTGTAAAAACCATGGAACAAACCATGCAATTAAGCACTAAGGATACAATAATTAAGTTATTGTCTTCCCGTGACCTTCAGAGGCACATACATAAATATAAGTACATCCATATAGGTTTAATTCAAATTGCTTTTAAACCTTTAACCTTGTTAGGTATGGATGCTTGTATTCAAGCAACCCTTAGGGATGATCGATGTCTGAAATTTCACCCTTCCTTGATGGGTGCACTGGAAACCAGTCTATGTCATGGACCGGTTTATTTTAATGTCTATCCTAGTCTGAATTTATCTTTAACAGATAAAAACATCCATGAGGCAGTTAGTCTTCGTGTTCAGACCTATGGGTATGATTACTTACTTGGATCGGAAGTGATAAGTGTTATTTATCGCATCCATTACAAAGTACTTGATACTATGTGTCCCAATGCCATACGCAAAGACTCTAAAGGAGTAACAGCGTTATGGGATACCAACATGTACACATCAAATGTTGCCACAAAAAGGATGATTCCTTGGAGTGAGATAACATTTCCTGAACACTGGATGATTTCTAATGCCGTTCTAGCACAGCCAATTGCTAATCATAGCTTAGACTGTGTTATTCAGGACCAAGATGGTGATGTTTTTCTGAATTTCAGAAAATCCATAGATCTACCTAGATCTACATCATCTAAAGGAAGTCATCTTCCTTATCATGTTTCTTGTCCTCCTTCTCGCCATTCGATCTCGTTGGATTACCAAAAGGAAGATCTCCCTGAAGTGGTTGGTGCCAATAGACTCAAGCTGAAAGGAATACAGCAATCTCAGAATCAAATTCCAAGAGGAGTCTACGAGAAAGCACCAATAGGTATGTCTCGTCGCCAATTTGGAATTGAATTCAGCCCAACTCCATCTGAAATGGGAATCGGAAATGAATCTGTCAAGGATCAATTTGATGATCCTACAGACATCAATGACCCTCATGAATATTAGTTTTAATGGATTTTGTCCCCGATAGAATTGCCATTAATACTGAATTTCAACAGGATCAATATAAAGAATTCAGAAATTGGTATTTTAAAGTTTTTGACCAAAATCAATTACAGCTTTTTAAAACCCAATTTTATGAATTTTTACAAGAACGCAAAATGGTTATACCTTTTGTTTCTTGGTTCTTCATGACCAATCATTCTATTGTTAATATAAACATATTGGATGATTTTCTCAAACCATGGACCACATCTGAAGATAAGGTTTTTCACTCTGTCCATCCTCCCACTGAACATCTAATTCTGAAAAGAATTGACCCTGACAGTGGTTCCAAAGTGGAAACCAAGGCTTATAGCCAACCCAGAATAATTGATCCATCCTGTAATGCTACTAAAAAGGACATTTCTCATGTTTACAGGCAGAACAATTATACTAATGTTTGTTTACAAACGATAGGGTCCCAGCTTGGGAAAATTGAAACAGGAATCGACACGGTATTAAATACAATTAATACTAAGTGTATTACTGTTAAACCGTCTCCTCCAGAAGCTTCCTTATCCAAAGCATTGGTCAAACCTGCAATTGAAGTTCAAGGCTTCAATCTTACCCATCCTAAGAAGAATGAAGAATTTCTTACTCTTCTTACTCAGAAAATCCAAGGACTTAAAATTCAGACTTTATCCCATGATGAATCTGAAATTGGTTCTGATTCTGAAAATGTGTTACCTCATATTGAGGTATTCCAAAATGATTTTACTCAGATGCCTGAGTTAAACCGAATAGTCTATGATAAGAATATCCACTCTAATACAGCCCCTGCTCCGAGTAGATATTATTATCCCAGACCCACACCTCAAGATATCTTGTATGAAGAAGATTATTTCCATACACAGAAATCTTTTCATGGCAAGACCATTTATGAATGGAACATAGATGGCAAATTTGATTATCAGATTTACGAGGTTATTCATCAAATATTGATGTATAGCCAAGTTTGTAAAATCAACAACAATACTGACCCAACCATTACTAAGTTTGTCGTTAAAAAGATTTTAAAGACTTAAACAATAATAATAAAATAAACTAACACACTCAGGTGTCTTTGAAAATACTTAAATTTTAAACCTTGTACGGACTTTACAAAGGTGATGAAGTACATAAATAAATTGAAAAATATAATAATAATAATCTCAAGGGCTCAGACAAAAATTCAACAATATTTTCTTACATTAATTTTGGACACAATTAATTCAAAATTAAGAATTTAACGTTGCAGCAGTGAATGGATCCTTCAATGGGTCCACCGCAATGAATGTATTGTATACTTTTCCAAGGAAGATATTTTGTCTTTTGGATGCCCTATTTAAATCTGTAAATTTTGTCTTGTGCGAGACGACGGACGAAGAAAAAAAAAAAGACATTCAGCAAGTATTATAAAATATAAATAGGGGTCATCACATGGCTAAAGATGATAAAGAAAACCACGAGTTTTAGTGTTTCACCGCTTTTGAAAATGAAACATTTCAAAGTGTTGGTTGTTGTGGTTTTTTTTAGTAATATTGTGCTTGAAAATGAAACCAGCTCTTGGATTATTCAGTAATTCAAGTGTTGGTAAAGTAGTGAGGCGCATAGAGAGGGAGAGGATTATAGCGTTCTCTTTTCTTGGGGCAACTCAACTGAAGACTGCTGCAGATGGAGAGGAGTCCGATGTAGCAACCGCACTGGTCATGTGATGCTGCTCGACCTTCATACCCAGCCTGATTGGGAAAATGATTATCAGCCGTTGAGAGGTAAGATTAGTCCTTCATTGCTTGAATTGCAGCATTTGAAGTATTTGGACCTCAGTTTCAACAATTTTACAGGGAGCCATATCCCAGAATTCATTGGTTCCTTTAGCAGTTTACAATACCTCAATCTTTCATATAATGATTTTGTCGGTACGATTCCTAATCAGTTTGGGAATCTTTCTGAATTGCGTTCTCTTGATTTGGACTATAATGATGAAGTGAGTGTAAAAAGTTTAGAGTGGGTTTCTCATCTTTCTTTATTAAGATACCTTGATCTGAGCTGGGTTAATCTTAGCAATGCAATAGATTGGATGGAAGCACCCAATAATCTCCCTCTCCTAACGGAATTGCACTTCAGTGTTTGTCATCTCCCTGGTATCATTTCACCCCAACTTCCATTGATAAATTCTTCTGCATCGTCTCTTGTTGTCCTTGATCTATCCGCCAATTCTTTCAATTCTTCAATATACAGTTGGTTGTTCAATTTCAATACTAGTCTTGTTCATGTAGACCTTTCTGGTAACAATTTACAAGGTCTGATCCCTGATTCTTTCGGAAACTCAAATTCCCTTGCCTATCTTGATCTCTCTGTCAATCAACTTGAAGGTGGGATTCCAAAATCCATTGGGAACTGTACTAGTTTACGAACATTGAGTTTGGGTTGGAATCAACTTGGTGGTTCACTGCCTCACAGCATCACAAGACTTTCATCTTTGAAGGAATTGTATCTTTATGATAATCAATTGAATGGGTCTTTACCAGATTTAACCGGATTATCTTCATTGAGAGTGTTGCTTCTTTGGAACAATCGATTGAGTGGGTCTTTACTAGATTTAAAAGGATTATCTTCATTGAGATCGCTGTATCTTTCAAACAGTAGCTTGACTGGACCACTACCCAAAAGTATTGGGCAACTTTTCATGCTTGAAATTTTGGACGTCTCTTCAAATTCTTTACAAGGTACAATCTCCGAAACCCACCTCTCAAATCTCAACAACTTGAAGGGTTTGTTTCTGTCTGGTAACTCCCTATCTTTAAACTTCAATTCTGATTGGAATCCTCTTTTTCAACTCGATTCCATAGGCTTGAGGTCTTGCCAGATGGGCCCACGTTTCCCAAACTGGCTTCTAACTCAAAACAGTTACTCTGAGCTTGACATCTCTAATTCTGGAATTTCAGATATTGTCCCTAGGGAGTTTTGGAATTTATCTCCTCAACTGTCTTACATAAATCTCTCTTCCAACCACATGAATGGCATGGTGCCTAATTTAACGTTATTGAAGACAGTTTTTTATCCTGTAATAGATTTAAGCATTAATCATTTTGAATGTCCAATTCCACTATTCCCTCCCAACATCACACTTCTGAATCTCTCTAAAAATATGTTTTCTGGGTCACTTTCTTTCTTATGCAACATAACCAATGAGCTTCTCAGCTTTATTGACCTCTCAAATAATCGATTATCAGGGGAGCTTCCTGATTGCTAGATGCATATGCATGAATTAGTCATCCTTAATTGGGCTAACAATAATTTCTCTGGAAAAATTCCTAACTCTATGGGTTTCCTCTATCGAATTCAAACATTGCACTTACACAATAACAATTTCATTGGAGAATTGCCTTTGTCATTAAAGAACTGTAGTGATTTGAAGATCATTGATATAGGAGAAAATAAATTATCATGAAAAATACCAACATGGATAGGAACAAATTTGACAAATTTAACTGTTCTTAGTCTGCGGTTGAATAAGTTGCAAGGACACATACCTCTATAAATATGCCATCACAAGTCTATTCAAATCTTGGACCTCTCCCAAAACAACATATCTGGGATTATACCGTTGTGCTTCAATAATTTTACGACTTTGGTTTGGTGGAATAAATCTAGAGGAAACATTGCTCATGGCTATCATGCTTATACAAGTGGTTCTTCTTTTTATGAGAATATGTATGTAGATAATGCATTGGTGCTATGGAAAGGGAAAGAGAGTGAGTACAAAAATAATTTAGCACTAATAGTAGGCATTGATCTTTCTGGCAATAGATTAGTTGGAAAAATTCCTGAAGAAATCTCGAGCCTTGTAGAATTGAATTATTTTAACTTATCGAGAAATAAATTGAATGGACATGTCATTCAAAAGATTGGTGAGTTGAAAATGCTAGAATCTCTCGACTCGTCTAGAAATCAAATTTCTGGTGAGATTCCTACAGGCATCACTCGTTTAAATTTTCTTGCTGTCTTGGATTTGTCAAATAATAACTTGTCCGGAAAAATTCCATCAAACACTCAATTGCAAAGCTTTGATGCCTCTGCATATTCTGGAAATGATGAACTTTGCAGGCTTCCACTTCCAAATGAGTGCCCAGGAGATGAAACAACTATGGAACCTTCTGTCGGTAAAGATGATATCATTCAAGGAAATGAGGATGGGTTCATAAACCGAGAATTTTATGTCAGCAAGGGGCTAGGTTTTGGGGTTGGATTTGGTGGTCTTTGGCACTTTATTGCTCAAACGTTCATGGGAACATGTCGTTTTCAAGTTCTTGAACAACATAAAAGATTGGATCTATGTGACAACAACATTGAATATGGCCAGATTGAGGAGGCGGGTTCAAATCTAATAGGTACATATCTCATATGGCTTTTTTGAATTTCCTACACTTTCACTCCAATTTTGTTTTTGTATTAGCTAGATTTTTAATACTTGAATGACACTATTAATAACAGTTCTAATTGTTCCTATGTGACAACAGCGGCGAATATGGCCAGAGTGTGGAGGCAGCTTCATAGCTAATAGGTAAATATATTTTTTTGATGTTTTTGAATTTGCTGCAATTTCACACCTTGAATTTCCCTTTCCATTAGCTAGATATTCAATATTTGAATGACACTATAACACGTTAAATCTAGTCATCAAAACTACCATTTTTACCCAACATAATAAAAAATAAAAATAAATAGAAGACAATTCCTCTAGTTGTCAAGTAATGTTAATTGTTGAATTTCACATTTTAATTAAACAAATTGCTTACATTGTTTATACTGTTCTATTGTTTTGCATTTTCGGTGTATGCTACTTCAAGTACTTGCCGGGCAACGTCGAGTTTTGCATACCCTCTAGCACTGCAGCTGTCTCCTAGGCCTCTCTATTACTTGTACTAGATTTAGTTAATGTTGATTGAACACGGCCATATTGTGTTGGACTCTTTGTATGAGGAATGGTTGTGGCATGATCCAAAATAAATATATTACATAGTTTGTTGTCTAATATTTGCTTTCAAATGTACAATTTAAAAGAAAGTTTTTTTTTTTTTTCATAATCTCGTTTTTTAATTCAGTAATGTTATCATCCTCTAACAAGTTCAATGCTGAAACAAAGTAAAACATGTGCAGGTCAGTTCTTTACATACCAACCTAGGATTCTAGATGTTACCATACATAACATGGACTTGCCATGGTAAACAAAAATCCAAAAAGAAAAAAAAAAATATATATATATATATATATATTTAGAGAACAATATTTTTTAAAGAACAATAGGGTCAACTATCAAAGAGCTGATGCAGCTCTACATTTTTCCTCATCTGATCCATCCGGAAGAGAGAGTTATATATAGTTGTAAAGGAAAACTACCCCCGGCCATTGCAGTTTTAGTAACATCATGATGTATTTCTCCCCCTCCCTTCCGCTTAATTTACAGCTTTGCATGCATCCTCCATTAATCTCAACTGGTTTATTAGTTACTAAGTTTATAATACAAGAAAATCACGTGGCACATTTAAATTTTATAAATCTTATTTTATTTTTACTTTTATAATTTCAAATATACTGAAAAATAATACTATAAAATGTTCATCTTTCATATTAGTACTCCATTCATATCAATATTATTTTAGTCACCTAATGAATATTTCTAGCCAAAACATTACTATATTATAACACAATATTCATCAACTAAAAGACTAAAACATAATTGGCCTATAGAAAACACAACAGAAACCTCTATTGAATCATTGCTTGCGGCAACTTCATCCGACGATCATTTAGGAAAGAAAAAAAACTTCATCCGATGATCTCCAACTCTCCAACCAATCAAAACTAAATGAAAAATTAGACAGAAACTTCATAATATGGATGTATCAATACATTGCAGAATTACGTGTGTGAGAAATGTATCAATACAAATATATATATATATATATATATATATATATACACACAGAGAGAGAGAGAGAGAATGGATAATTACGTGATATATGGGAGCTCTAACTGAACCAGATGTTACCAAGAGTCTTCTCCCATTAGCATCTAAAGTCATTTCATATCTAAAGTAAACTGAATCATCACGGTTGCAAAACCTACATAATGGAACACAATGATGTCACCACAGTTCCTTCTGCATAAATTAATGTACAATGATTCTGAAGATACCATTAAAAAAAGTTATAAACTATGCATACTACAACTAGAGCAAACCCAGTGCACGAGGCTCCCGCAATTACGGGGTCTAGTGAGGGTCAAATATACGAAGCCTTATCTCCACATGCGAAGAGGCGGTTTCCATGTTTCAAACTCGTGATCTCTAGGTTACAATGGAGAACTTTATTGTTGCGCCAAGGCTAATCCTCTATGCATGGTCAAATAACTTTCACGCAATATCAAGTACACCATACCATTAAAGAAATAAGATCATATCAATTTTATAAAATTAAGAGAGACAATGGAAGTTGAACATACTACCATGGTATCAATCTAAAAAGTCGCACTACAAAACTTAGGACGGTACCCTATTTAAGGACTAAGACATTTGATAGCTCAATTAATATAATAAATGATTCTCCAATTAAGTACGCAATCTGAATATCACTTAATGAAATCAAATTTTAAGTGAAGAGAACTTCATATACCACTAAAGACCACATTGTCGTTTCTTTTACTTATCAAAAATAAAAAATAAAGAACACTTGAATTAAAACAATCATTGAAGAAGTCCTCTATTTATAAACTTAAAATTCTCATCTTAGAATCAATGGTGCTTAATTTTAAGTGTTATGGGTTGAATGGAGGAGTGTTGCTGGTATATTATGTGATTGAGGTATAGCTCTAAAATTTAAAAGGCAAATTTATAAACAACTATTGTATCAAACTAGCCATACTTATGGTATAAAATGTTGGACAGCTTGAAAATAGCACATTCACAGAATGAGAATCTTCTAATAAATAAGGTCATCAAAGGCATTATTGAGAAGATAGAGAAAAAGAATGCAAGGGATTGGCACAGATGTATGGTAATCTAATAAAGAATAAAATTAACGCATTCATAGGACGATTTAAAATGACACCAATAGGAGACAAAATGGGAGAGAATCAACAAAGATGGTTTGCTCATATACAGCAAAGACTAACGAGGAAGAAGGATGTGGTCCATATTAAAAATAATGATAGGAGAAGAGGCAGACTAAACTAACATGGGTTGAATCATTGAGGAAAGATATAGCAAGTAATTTAACAAAAGCTTTGGCCCTAAAGTTTTCATTTAAAAAACAAATCTATAAACCGCATCCTGTAACACCTTCCCAAAAGAAGAAGAAATAAAGTATATGAATTTATTGCCTAAAACCGCGGAACCAGGGGACTTTAACACTCAATTGAAGAAAAACAATATTGGCCTAGGATACCAAATATGAATCATTCCATCAGTGGCAGCAGCTGCTAAAATCTTCCCATTGTGATTGAAACATAAGTAAGTAATTGCAAGTGGATCTTTACCAAGAGGAAGGACTGCGTTCAATGAAATTGAGAAAACAATAAGGCTTAATTATTCTCATTGAAATTGATTCCTACATTGACATGCAAATTTCTGAGACAATCCATACCATAGCCTTCCATGTCTTCATGTTCCAGACAGGTAATGATGCAAAACCCAACTTATCAATATAATTTGTCCCATGCCTACAAAGATGATGAGGTTGTAATAAGTTTTTGTTCAACCATATTTAAAGAACAAATAAACAACTGTAATGATAACACAATTGAACTTTTTAGAACAATGTCTAAACAAGTATTAAATCCACAAGTATTAAACAAGTTCTCCAATATTCACGGAAACACAACATGGTTCTACCATTAAAAATAAATAAACCATATTAAAATACCATAAAATAAAATCATACGAGCTAGTAGAAAAATATGAAGCTTTAGTTCATCAAATTTAGTCAAAAGAAAGAGAATGTAAAGTTTGATAGAAACATGTGGTTTACCATAAATTAATTTTGATACAAAACTTTGACCATGTGATTATTTCGCTTTCAAACAGTCAGGTCCACATCTTGGAATTGACATAATCATGTTTAAATAGTAGACAGCCCAATGGTGTAATGAGGTGCACCTCATTCTGGCTTTTCTCTTTCAATAATACTTGTTTCCTTACTCATCTTCAAAGTTCAAAACATCGCTCTCACCGTTAAAATTACCTTACACATTCAATTACGTCATCTACATAAATCTACATAAATCATGCCACATTAATAAAGAATAGTGCACTCTTGTTTCCGTTCCATGTTCTGTAATAATTGTCAAAGTAACCCTGGTTGGGTACACATTTGTCCACCATTCAGTACATTTTTTTCCCTTAATTAAATCACAAACAACCATTTCCTCACATCATCATATTGAACCTCGTCCTTCTGGGATTCTTATCTCTGTTATTATTTCGAGATGAATCTAACCACTATTCTGTACATAACGGCTTCCATTGTACACAACGAACCATCTTAAATGATTGTTCTACATGTCTTTTCAACAGTGAACCTCTAACTTCTCATGAATGTATCCATTTGTTACATTAATGTTTCTTGTATTACCAGTCATCATCACAAAATCCTCATTTCAGCCATAATCATTTCATCAGCATGCTTCTTGATTGCTCAAAATCCCCATTTCATTTGATAATTAGTTTATACTCACAACTCTGCCATAACATTTCTTACTTTATGCATTCCACTACTTTTCTATGGGCAACATCTTTCAATCATCTAGTGGCACGAATAGTCTCTGCTCTATAATAATAAATAAGTTCTTCAGAAATCCCATGGTTCAAAGCAGTGGACACTTACGACTCAAATACCTAAAAGCCTATGATATTTTTTTCCATCAGGAAAAATCCAACTATAATAGTAGTTAAAGACCACATAAATTTAGAACTTCTTCGGTTTGGATTATTTAAGCTGATTTGATCACAAGGGTGGACTAAAGCTTTTAGTTTGAAAATTGTATTTTAGTTAATTAAATAAAAGAGTAAGTATCCAATGTGGTCGTTGTAATACCCCTAATTTTCAAGGATAGTCTCGGTATTTATTTATTTGTTTTAATTATATTTTTAATTATTTAATTGATTATTTGACTAATTGCTTATATGTTTAATTGAATTAGGTATTGCTTGATTATTTGATTATGTGTCTATGTATTATATTTATTTGTCTATGTGTTAACTGTTTAATTAGATTATGAGCTTAAATGGTATTTTGATTAATTATAAATTAAATGTTTTCTTTTCTTTTATTATTTTATTTTATTTTTCATTTATGGTTATGGTTAGTAGTAATGGGCCAACCAATTGGGTCCCACGAACTACTTGGATAGGATGTTGGATGTGTATAGATAATTACCCATGGATAGTTATGTATGTATATATATAGATATATATTATATACATATATAAAAATGAAAGTAATTTATTAATTACTTTTATGGTAACTTGGGTAGTAATATTTAATCTGATGTATATGTTTTATA